TCCACTTAAACAGCTCCGTGTGGCTAGTGGCTTCTTTCTAGAGCTTTGCACGAGGCAGTGGTTGTGACCTAATGGAGGGGAGAAGATGATGCAAGTTTCCCTGCAGGTAAATTATGATAAGCTGGGTCTCAGGGAGGGAACTGACCCCAGGTGGGTTCTGACAGTATTGTGCTGGACGCAGTGAGGAGAGGCCTTTGAAGAGTCTTATTGAGACATGACAACCGTACATGAAATAATTAGAGAAGGGGGCAGCTGGTGTGTGACAAAGTGCTGCCCAGCACGGCATCAGCTCGGGAGCACCCTGCCGTGCCCCTTGGCATCGGAGACAGGTCTCCATGTCGCTGCATTGCACAGCTACGTGTGCCCCAAGGAACAAGAATCCTGCCTGTACCTCTCTGCTGTCAGGAAAGGTGCCAGGAGCAGGGTGGATAAATCAGAACATCATTTCTAGATACATTCATAAGCTCCTGTGGCAGAAAGCCTGCTTTAAAGGGCTTGCATAGGCGGGCCTTTATTCTGTATTACCTGTAGAGCTTTCCTGGAAAAGCTCTATTGTAATGCAACCTGTGTTTTCCCCCTGGAGCGCTGGGCAGCTGTGTTTCCTGACCAGGAGCTCAACATCGAACAGAACATAACTGGGACACAATAATGCCATGAAAGCAGGGAAACCAAAGCCATAAATCTTACTAACTACTAAGAGTGATAAAATTCTACACATCCTATAACATGAATATAAATGCGCAGTATTGGTGCACACGGACTAGGGGAAGAGCAACAATCTTCCATTAACATATAAAAATTCAATTCCACTGTGTCATAAATTAGATTTTTTTCTCATACTGAACTATTAAGTGTGATAAACGCAAATTGAACACTTGAATAACAATTGCTTTGCCCAACCCTGAAATTTGAAGTGCATTTGAGGATGCTTGCTTCTCTTAATAAGTTCCTTCTTCTTAATAAATTCCTTCCAGCAGAAGCATACCTAATTATCCCATTATCCATTCCATCCATCTGGATGTCAAGTCCATAGCATCAGTAGACCAATGAGGTGGGAGTCTGAGAATAACACACGGTGAATAGAATCAACACCTGAGTCGGAGGCACAGACCAATACAGACTGGAAAGTGTTAGCTGGAGAAATATTCAGCAACTAAGACCTACAAATGGATATTTTAATTTCCTCCCATTCCTTATTCTTTATTTTCTCACTCTAGTCCGTAAATTCTGATTGAAATATTAATATGTCTCATGTTACTCTTTTTGTTGATTTATCATTTTAGAAAAGTGATATGTGTTTATTATAGAAAATTCAGATATGAAGAAAATAAAAACAGCCACAATTCTACCACTTAGAGACCGCTGTGAACATTTGGCCATATCTGTTTTCAGTTACTTTTGTTTTCTTACTTGTTTTCACGCAATACTGAAACACAGTTTTGCTCTTTTTCAGTCAATATTTCCTCCGTGTTTCCTCATATCTTAAAATGTATTTCCAGAACATCATTGCAATGTCTGCAGGATATAGAGGTCACCTAAATGTATTTAACTAGGCCTCTATTATAGGCAATTTAGGCAATATATAGGCAATTTATTACAGGCCATCTTCCTGCCTTCCTTTTTATTTCAAATAGTATTATGATGAAAACCCCCATCTATAGAATCTTTGTCCACATGCATTACTATTTTCTTGGGTATGGAATTTCCCTGCCAAAGGGAGGAACTTTCTTAGGGCTGTTTATAAGTATTGCCCAATTGTCCCCTAGAAAGATCTTCTAATGCAGTCGTCGTTATTACTATGGGTGTTGAGATGAGAAGGCCCTGAAGTACAGTCCTGGTTTTGCAGATCCAGATCTGTCATCAGCCGTGTGACCTTGAGCAAGCCAACACCTCCAAGCTGCAGTCTCCCCAGATGTTAAGTGGGCCAGTAATAAGACCTGCCTCACGTCCCATTGCCGTGTGGACTAGATGAGACAGTCCGCGTAAGAGCTGACGACGGCAAAATGCCCGATGTGAGAGCTAACAATTACATACTCTGCCCACCGAGTAGGGACCATCTATTTCTCCATTCTTTCACAAACCCTGGGTACAATTTTGTGTATAAAACTCATCAGCTTGACAAGTGAAAAAAAGACATCTTGTAGTTTTAACTTCCGTGACAAAACACATCTCTCAAGCCTTTAAATATATGTGAAATATTTCAAGCGATGGGTGGCTTTGACACATGCTTTTTCCTCAAATGTTGTTCCTCATGAGTGCCAAGTAATAGAATAAGCTCGAGTCGTCCTTAGTTTTAAAGGGCAGATACATTGTTCACTGCATCTGCGTAGTGAGTGGCATATTGTGGAGGTGGAATACTTATATGCAGTGATTAGTAAATGTGTGCTTCAACATTAAATGCGTGCCTACCTCATTTTCTCCCAACAGTCTCGATGAATTGGATGTAGCTGCCCGCAATTTATTTTAAATTGTATAAACAGCTTCCTAAGACAACCGGTAGAAATAAAAAAGAAGGAAAACATTCACTTCCCTCACCCAAATTAAATTTTGTTTACTGTCCATACAATTTTACAGAGTCACGTTAGATGCTTTTTCAAATCGGGGGACACGTTTCCTCATGTGGAGACCACCTCCTTCCCACACAAGGACTGTCATTCCACCAGGCCCCCTCGGCGCCCGCTCTATCCCCGTCACATCAGTGGGAGTCATGCCAGAGAAAGGGACCCGCACCCTATGGGCCAGGGAAGAGGGTGGATGACAGAAGTCCTGGGAGTGAAGCAGAGGTGGGCTGAGAGGTCAGCACCGGCAGCCCAAATGTGGCCATAATGTGAAGTCTGCGCCGGAATGTGACGGGTGAGGGTTGGTCTGAAATAAAAATCAAAACAACAAAGGCAATCGCAATCATGGCGTTCAGGAGGGTTCATAGTCAGACATTTAGAGGCCGTCGTCATTTTAAGAACAGGCTTTCGTTTGCCTTTGTCAGAAGCCTGGAGGCTCTGCACAAATTTAAAGGCACAGCGCGGTGTCGGGTACCAGAGAGGGTTTTCTAGTGAGCAGGATTCCATGGGATTTCTGTAATGCACGTGGGAGGAGGTGTGAAGATACGCAGTCTTGATTATTCCGGAGAAGAGAGAGATCTGTTTTCCTGTCCTGTATCAGTCATCAAATAATTTTCTGTCTTAAGTCATCAGTCACCAAATAATCTCTCACTTGATGACATGGAGAAGGCTCCTTAGGTTTCAGTTCTGTTCCTCTTTTGTCCCTGTTAGTTCATATTTCCAAGGATGTGTCCTCGAGAGTTGGGCTGTAATACCTTTGCAGGGAGACGGTGAGTCTATTGATTCTTTAATATGGTTTCTGCCATTTAATTCTTGTTGGGAGCAGGCAGCGCTCCAGCCCTTACACACAGCTAGCTGGCCGCTCTCTGTAATCAGATGTGTACACACGTCCCATGCCAAGAGAAAATGCTGGCATATTCACAGTGGATTATCATATTCTGGTCACTTTTCAAGATCATCCGTGCTGTTTGTAATCTTGAGTATTATCATTAATTGCTTTTGCTTTCAGCCTTGAATTTGGTTCTGCAAGGAAGAGGTTTTGCTGGCAAGGGTTATGAAAAAAATAAGGGCAGCTTCACGTTCTTAATCTTGAGGGCTTCTTGCATTACTGTTAAGTCAGAATTGTTAGAATTCCACCTTGCTGGAAGGTGAAGATGAAGGTGGTCCTGTGGAATAACAGGAAGAGCAGTAGTCTCAGGGGATGTGATTCAGTCCACCCTTTTGCCTCTTTTTAACGTGACTTTGGGCCCATGTATTCATTTGTAAAATGACCTGTTTATTTACAAAATAGGGACTGTGCTTTGTCCTGTGTAGCACTCAGTGACAGACTGCATGTGGAAGCATTTTGTAAACGATAATACTGCACACCAATGTAAGGTCATCACTGTGTCTTTGCGGTCGACATGCTTGAAAATTTGTTGGTTTATGTTGAAGCCTATTTCAGTTCTCTTCATGTCCTGGCCCATCATTTCCACATTTGAACTTAAGCTAGGGGCGCTTGGGTGGCTCAGTCAGTTGGGCATCTGACTTCAACTCAGGTCATGACCTCATGGTCTGTGAGTTCGAGCCCCACGTCGGGCTCTGTGCTGACAGCTCAGAGTCTGGGACCTGCTTCTAATTCTGTGTCTCCCTCTCTCTCTGCCCCTCCCCCACTCATGCTCTATCTCTGTCTCTCTCAAAAATAAATAAACATTAAAAAAAATTAAACTTAAGCTATGAAGACCTTGGCTCAACCTTCTTTATCTTTCGGTCTAACTCGAGGCCTGGAAGTTTTGCTTTATTTGGAATTTGTCACCCCACATTCTAAAGAATGAGCATCGGTGTTTCTCAAGAGACTAAGATTCTAAGATATCGCCAAAGCGAATCTTAATTGTATGTCTTCAGAAAGCCCTGGGATCTTATACTTTTATCATACTGGGCGCTATTTTGGTTATATTGTAGTGGAAACTATTATTCTTGTATTAGAGCTATTCATAAAATGGCAGCACTTTGGATGGTGACTGTAGTCTAAGAGCTGCCTTTCCAACATGGCAACCGCTAGACATATTGATTATTTGCATCCCAGTCAATTAAGATTAAATCAAATAAAAAACTTGGTTCCTCACACACACTAGATACATCCCAAGTGCTCAACAGCCAGATATGGGTCATGGAGACTACTTTGGACAGTGGAGGTTATAGCACATTTCCGTCTTTGCAGAAAGTTCTACTGGACAATCCTCTAGAAGAAAGGGAACCTAATATCACCTTCTTCAGAGGTACCCAATAAGGTTTCATGGAAAACTTTTATGCCATTTTTAGATTTCCAACCTAAATTAGCAAACTTTCATGGCCAATCAATGTTTGACATCCCACTTACCTACCCTTTCCTGCAAGTCACATTTAGGGTGTTTGATACTTTGATATTTTTACATGTTCACTTCTTTCTGTTGGGTTCCTTAGGTCCTGTGTGACAGACATGTGTGAATGTCCAGTCCATAAAAACTGTTACTGCGAGTCATTTCTGGCATATACCCGGGCCTGCCAGAGAGAAGGCATCAGTGTCCACTGGGAGCCTCAGCAGAACTGTGCAGGTGAGAAATTCCTGGTGGACCCCATCCATCAGAAGTTCACTACAATCCCCAAAATAGCAATGAAAGAGACTCGCTGATACGAATGGCCACATTCCCCCTTGGCCAAAGGGAAATTCCATCAATAGTCCAACTGGATTGCAACTTGATAAAACACAAGGGCTTCCCACTAGGCAGGATAGAAAGCACTTAAGAGAAATGCTTTGTGACAAGCACATTTGAACAATGTAAGGATTTCCACTGTTGCAAAATCCTCTCAACCTCAAGCTATCAGCTGGATGTACTTAGCACATGGACAATCACAGCTGTGGCTAAGGTTATATGTGGCGCAAAGAATATTCATGATGATTACAGTCATTTAAGGTCTTCAGGATAAGTGTGTGTGTGTGTGTGTGTGTGTGTGTGTGTGTGAGAAAGGGAGAGATTGTTAAACCCTAGCAGAATATTCTTTTGCCTCTGAGAGATAGATTTTTATAATACTTGTTATAGTCCTTTGATCTCAGGCAAGTTAATTAGCTTATTGGATGTCTGTAAAATGGACTTCTTTGTTCATTCAAGAAATATTTCTTACAAAGTGTCTACATGCTGGGCATTGTGCTGAACACAGTGAGTACTCTGGTAGCTTAAGAGACGAAGCCCTTGTCATTGAGGTGCTGGCAGTCCAAAAGGAGAACCAGGTGAAAATAGTAACTCTACAAGAAAATACTGGCTAAGTATGTTAAGTGTGATGTAGGAAACAAATAAGGCAGAGCACAAAAGACAAATGGAGAGGGAATGGGTGGCTATTTAGATGGTGACAAGGGAGGGCTTCTCTGTGGTGATGATAGGAGCCTTGAAGGATTGAAGAGAGTTAGGGCAAGAATTCTATGCAGAAGAAACATATTTTATGACCATAAAGCAGGAATAAAATAGCATGCTATGGAACTGGAAGGGAGTCAGTGTGGCTCAAGCATGGTGGGCAGGGGAAAGAAGCATAAAATGGGGGTGGAGTAGAAGCAGGAGCTGGATCGTGCAGGGCCTTGCAGGTCTTGGGAGGGTGGTAGCCTTTATTCCAAGAGTAGTGGAAGCCACTGATGGACTTTGAGCAAGCCTCATTCTGCTTTCTAGACATCACCCTGTGTCCAGGCTACTGTGTAGAGAATAGATTGGCCGGGGCAAACTGAAAGCAGGTGACCAGGCAGGAGTGTGGTGGTGAACAAACAATGGTGACTTGGATTAAGATGGAGGCAGTGTATGAGGAGAGAAGAAGAGAGATTCCCGATGTATTTTGGAATTTTACAATAATATCTGTGACGCAGAGTGATACGCATCAGTGATATGTGATATGTATGTGAAACATCTGAAAGAGTGTCTACCTCATAGAAGCTACTGCTGCTAATTAGATCTGGAGAGGAGATGGCTGAGTATTTGTCACTTACTTCAAGGGTTGGCAGACATTTTTCCGAAAAGGGCCAGATTTGCCTGGAATGAAGACACAGGGGGGTTGCACTAATTCTACACTAATCCTAATAACCTTAGCTCTGATATTAGAAAAAAGGCAGTTCATGGCACTGCTAACTCTAGAATGTCTATATTGGTGGAGGTCACCTGGTTGGAAGAGAGGTCAAGAAGGATTGCCTTGAGGCTGTGTTTTCATTGAGTGGCCATCTTGTTTACTTAGACCAGTGAGTCTCAGTCTGGCTGGGCATTGGAGTCACCAGGGAGTTTACAAGATAAACAAGAAACCTATGCCCAGATATCCTGTTTTAATTGGCCTTATATAGCTTTTAAAAGTTCTCAGGTGATTCTGACTTGTAGCCAGAGTTGAAACCACTGAGTTAATTTTTATGCCTACTTGGGTAGCTTTGAGGGAGTAGGATGACAGGTATTTGGGGGTTACTAAAACTTCTCCAAGCTGCCCCTTGACAAAATCACTTGTCTGTGTCCATGAAAAGCACTAAGCCCTTTTACCTACTTCTAACTTCCGTTTTGGAATTTGCTCTCTTCTCTGCAAACCCAAGTCCAGTCTTTGTATCTGAGTTCACTTTCTATGGCAAGAATGTCTATCAATGTTGCCCTTCTGAAAGGAGTATTGATTTGATAAAAATAACTCACGGTGATACTGGTGAACTGGGTCCGAGGATGCAGAGGGGGGTCCCGCAGGGCCAGGCAAGAAGGTCCTTGGCTTCGCACAGGATGGAAAGCAAACTCAAGCCAGCAGAAAGTGAGAGCAGAGTTTATTGAAGATACAGAGACAGCAGATACAGACAGAGCATCCGGGAGACTCAGAAAGGAAGTAGAAGATGAATCTCATCTTTGCTAGGGGTCTGGAGTTTTTACTGATGATTGTGGTCTGCTGCACATGTCCTCTTGGGCATACGGGAACTGGTCAGAACAAGGACAGTGTCCTGATGTCCATCATAAGTCATGTATCCCCTGAAGCCAGGTGACCTTGGCGTCCTCAAGATGTCTAGTGCCAGTGATCTGGAATATGAACATGATGGCTTCACCCTATCATTCCTTAGGTATTATCTATTGTGTTGAAAGATTCCAAAGAAATCATTAACTCCTCATCCCTTACAAGGAGGACATAAAGTAAGGCATGTGTAGGGCACGGGTGCAGGTCGTAGCAAGAATAGAAGAAGGAAAGGGAGCAAAAAGTAGATTTTTATGGAGTCCTTCAGGTTCCCTATCTCAATAACATGGTGTGGTTGAGGCTCCTAAAAAGTAAGACGGAATAGCTTACCTCTCGCCTAATGCATCAGTGTGGGGTAGCATAGTAAAAGTGATGTTTTTGTGGGACCAGGTCCTTTTAGTACGCCTTGAATATTCCTAGCTCCCTTCCTCTCCTTTGAGTCCTCCTTCCCTTGAATCTATCAGAAAAAGACTAAGCTATACGGAGCCACGTCCCATCCATCCATCCTGCTGTAATTTAGGGCTCTGCAGAAACTTACAAACTTCATTAGCTGTGGTAGTGCTGTGGTAAGGCTTATATTAGATACAGAATATAGGAGTCCTCTCTTCCCAGCCCACAGCTATACTTAGCACCGTCTGAGTACACCATTTGAGGACTACGCATTCCCCTTGATTTCAGGGACCAAATCTCAGGAGCTAAAATTACTTTTCTAATGGACGAGGAATATGGCTCTCGAAAGATTTCATTTACCACTTAAAATTAATGGAGGCATCTGAGTGAAGTATAACTCTGTGCAGTTGCAGGGGAACCTTTACACACACACACACACACACACACACACACACACACACACAATGCACTTGCACAGGTTGACAGTTGGCACATGAAAAATAAATTTACGGAGACATGCAGCATCTTTCAGTGGATTCATTTCCAATTGATCTGGAATATTGAAGACTATAAGAGTACCCTTTACTTATTTTTAGCTCCCAGATCTTTTCGACTTATGACAGCACATAAGGGCACTTAATACAGAGAAGAGAAATTTTGCAGAGTAAAAAGCTTGGAGGTCGAACAAATAAGAAGCCAGCCAGGCAAGAAACTCTGAATGAGCAAGTGACATTTCCAAACGTAGCCTGGATTTTAGCACTATCATGACTACTAGCACAAAGCGTATGCCCACTGCGTGTGGCAAAAAGGACTGACGGAGCTCAAGCTTAGCATGTGAATTACTGAATATAATATACTATGCAAAGGACCATCATAAAGGTCTAGAATAAAAGTTTAATAATGACCGTTTATATTAACAGTCACCATTTTCTAAGCACTTCCTTTGCCCCAAGGACTACACTAGCACTTTTATGACATTTTATGTTGTTAATTCTGCATTATAATCTATATGGTAGCATTCTATTACCCACACTTTACAGATAAGGACATTGAGGCTTGGAATATTTAAGTGATTTGCTGCAAGCCACAGAGCTAGAAAATGAGTAGGTTGGGAATGAAACCCAGGTAAATTTGCCTCACAGCCTCTGTAGTTAATCATTATGAAAACAGACCAGCAAGAGCACTGTGGAAAAATATAGTCAAATATGAGTATATATTTATATGTGTATTTACATAAGCATCAACTAATGTATTCAAATATTTGTTATGTAGGTCTTTCTGATTTCTATTCATTTGTGCCTTATCACTGATAGTTGTCACTTGGTAGTCTCTGACCGTAACTTTGTTATGCTCTTGCCCTCGCATCTTACTTGGCCATTCTCGGTAGATTTCCTGACACCTCCCTGTAGCCCACACTAATTGTCAGTGCACTTTCGGTAATGCATTTTATAAGTGGAAAAGCATCTGGGATACTCAAAGTGGCGTGTGTCTTTCTATAGCACATCAGATAGCCTGCTGGGTTCTATGAGCAGGTTTTCCTCTGTTTGTCTCTATAAATTCCAGGTGCTTCTAGCCCTTTGCTGTAGCAACGGCTTTAATTATACACAGTGAGCTTCTCCTTGGCCAACTGGGTGCCTCCTGTAAAGGATTAGGAGATAAAGTCAGTACGGGGATCTTCAACACTCAGTAGGGGATATGGAGGCAGTGGGGTTCCAGAGGGCACAGAGCCGTGCTTATTGAATTTATTGATAAAGCTAACACCCAGCGCTTTTCTGAGTTACCACGTGAAGTAACACATAATGCTGCTTGGACACATTACACAGTGTCTGCTTGTGTGTCCCCTAGAGAACAAATGCATGCCAACCCTAATCACTTTGGTAGTTGGCTGGTTTTTCTGTTTTAAATTATTTAACCAGTTGAATCCTTCTTTAAATGCATATGTTCAAATTGGTCACAGTTAGGTTTTATTTTTATCTTTTTATTTGTTTAAGTTTATTTATTTGTTTTAGAAAGAGAGGGAGGGGGCAGAAAGAGAAGGAGAGAGAGAATCCCAAGCAGACCACACTCTTAGTACTCCTGACATGGGGCTCAAACCCACCAACCGTGAAAGCATGACCTGAGCTGAAATCCAGAGCCAGATGCCTAATCGGTTGAAAATAATATATCTTTTGTCTTTTATATATATGGAAAAAAAAAACATTGAATTCACAGAAGAGTC